AGGGCATTTATTTTTCCAAAGTCAGAGGTGAGAATGTTCGAGTTGGTTTCAAAGTCTATTTGTGTTTTTTCAGTGTTGTTTAAAATTATGTTTGACTGTAACTGTTCTTTTGCGGCTATGCCTGGGTTTATGATGTGAAGTGTTCTATGGCTTAGTCTGCATACATTGATTTTTTCTAGCCTTGTTCTTATAATCCTAAGTTCCGTCTCTTCTATCATTATGTTTATTTGGTAGTCTATTTCTTGGATTGCTTGTTTAATAGAAGATTTTTGATTTTCAGTCATTGTCATGGTTTTGTTGGTCAATATCATTTTTATTTAGGTTCGTGTGGTTTGGTGTTGGGTTTATGTTTTGTAGGATCGTTCTGTTCCAAGCTACTGAGTCTATTCGATTAAATTTGTGAATTATTTTTGGATCGTTTTACTTATTTTTAATGAGATCTGTATTGCATGATGGTCAGATGGATAGTCTTTTAACACTGTACAGCCATTTTGTATGTTGCTAGTTAAAGCTGCTATTGTGGTAGTTATGAAAAGATCTATTTTTTTATTTGGATGAGTTGGTTCATTTGGCGGACAAATGGTGAGCTCAGGAATATTTGTTATCCAGTCAAATAAAACTTTTCCTGCACTATTGAAGTGTTGACTAGAGAAACTTGGTTTGTTCCATGTCGGATGTTTCGCATTTAGATCACAGCCTATGATTATTTTATTTACCTGGGGTACTTTTTAGAGTGTATTGTATATTTTGTCTAAGTCTTCAGTTTGTAGTTTGTCCTGTGGTCTGTTGTAAAGTGTTGCTACAATAATATATTTTCTATGTTCTTTTGAGTTTTTTTGGGTCAATTGTATGGCTTTGGCTTCAACTGATTTCGCTTGCGTTAAATTTATCCTGTTGTATTTTATGTTGTTTTTTTGGCAGATGGCCACTTGGTTAAGTTTTGTGTTTATTTCTGTTGTTGTGTTTTGTCTTATTAGTCTGTAGTTTGTTAGCATGGGTGGGTTATTTTCGTTGAGATGATGTTCTGCTAGGAGCATTATATCGGGTTTGTGTTTGGCTAAGAATTGATTGAGTTCAGCTCTTTTTCTGAGCTGTCTCATACTATTTACATTGAGGAAAATGCATTTTAATTTCATTACTTATTTTGGACCATATTGAAAATGAAATCGAGTATTATTCGATTTTTATCATCTTCGTTGTTTGTATTTGGATAGTTCGTTAAAGTTTTTTGCATAATTTTTATGCACGTAACGAGATCTTTCCCGTAGGTCTTAATAGTGTCATTGTTTATTGTGTCTATTGTAATTTGAGGTGAACTGTCGAGTTGTTTATTTTGTGGGTTTGTAATGGTCTGTTCGGTATTTTGAAAAAGTGAAGAGAAGGTTTTGTTCGGGACTACTCTATTGAATTGTGAATTTTTTGTAATTTGCTGTTTTACTTTGAGTTCGTTTTGAACTCTTTTTGCGCAATTTTTTTAACTAGACTTATTCTAATAGGACATATTTTAGCATTTTCTGTGTGTTCCCCTTACAATTTACACACTGAGGCTTTGTAGTTTGTGTTTCAGTATTACTATCAGGCTTTTTTAGATCACAGTTTCCTGGCCGTGAGGTTTAAGGCATTTAATGCACCTGTAGGGCATATTGCAGTTGCTGGCTACATGCGAGAATCTTTGGCATCTTTTGCATTGTTTAATGTGGTTTGGGTGTGGCTCATAGCCTTCTACGGTTACCTTACAATTTAGGAGATATTTTATTTTGAAGATATTTTAATAATTGGGGATTTTTTTATTGTAACCTGGCAGCATTTTTCTTTATAAATGTTTATCGAGATTATTTCTAATTCTGGTATGATTTCGTTAATAGCTGCCTTGATTTCATCTTTATCGAATATTTCAGGAGGGATTTTTTTAATGATAATATTGTGCGACTCTAGTTGTTTTGGCGTATATGTAAAGAATATTAAATTTTCTTTTGAAATAGAGTTTTTGCCTGATTAAAGTTTCAATTTTATAGACTTTAATGAGAATTATGTTCTTATTTACTATGTTTACTGTCTAACATTATAGATTACTATTACCGGTAAATTGTTCACGGTTTCTTCTGATTCGGCTGCTGCTGTTGTTGTCTTCTGTGCAGATGGCTTTGTTGTTATCTTCGTTGGTTTGTTGTTGCTTGTTGTCATTCCAGGTTGGTTTTGGGGCCGGAAATTCACTAGTATCGTGCTCGGCTAATGGCTGGTAGTAGTTTGTTTTGTTGATGTTGTTTTTATCAGTATTGTCCTTATTGTTGTATTTGTTCTTTTCATTGTTGCTAAGGATTTGATTTTTTAGAGATAAATTTCTTTCCGATTTTCTTCATCAATTGTTTTTAGTCTGCGAAGCTCCTCCACCAAGATTTTAAATGGCTCTTTGGTTCCACCTTCATCCCGATTTTCTTCTTCATCACTGCTGGTAGGGTCGTAGTCGAACTCACTGTTGTCTTCTGATGATATCTGATAACGACGTTTATTGTTTTGGGTATCGATGTCCATTTCATGGATTTGATCAGAGTTTGTTGGGTCATTGTCAGGTATTTAAGATCGCTTTTTGGCATTTGATTCCATATTTTTTATTTCGGGTACTTGTTTTATTTCATTTGATTGAACTGTTGCTATAGGTTTTTTTCTGTTTTGTTTCTGCTGTTGTTTTATCTTTGTTATATTGTTGCTGTTGCTGTTGCTGTTGCTGCTGTTGTTGTCGCTGTTGTTGTTGCTGTTGCTGTTGTTGCTGCTGCTGCTGTTTTAGTTGCTGCTGTAACTGCTGTTGTTGTTTTAGCCAATATGTGGTTGTTGCTGTAGCTGTTGCTCTTTTTGTAGCTGTTGTTGTTGTGGTTGCTGTTGTTGTTGCTGTTGTTGCTGCTGCTGCTGTTTTAGTTGCTGTTGCTGTTGTTGTTTTAGCTAATATGTGGTTGTTGATGTAGCTGTTACTGTTGTTGTTGCTGTTGTTGCTGCTGCTGCTGTTTCAGTCGCTGTTGCTGTTGTTGTTTTAGCTAATATGTGGTTGTTGATGTAGCTGTTACTGTTGTAGTAGCTGTTGTTGTTGTGGTTGCTGTTGTTGTAGCTGTTGTTGTTGTGATTGCTGTTGTAGTTGTTGTGATTGCTGTTATTGCTGTAATTGCTGCTGATGTAGCTGCTTTTGTTGCTGTAGTTGTTTTAGTCGTTGTATGTTCTCTATTTTAAGTATTGCTATTGCTTGAGAACTTTGTAGTTTTTGTTGCTGTTTTTGTTTATTATTAATTTCTTGCCGTTGTTGTTGTTGTTCTTTAGCATTTAGTGTTTGGTCTGTTATTGCGTTAGTTGTGGTTGCTAATTGCTCATTGGCTACTGGTTGCCATTCATCTTTTTTTTCACTTGCGGCTTATTCACTACTTCTAGCTGATCATTGCGCTATTGTTTGTAATTATAAATTATTTTCTTCTTTTTAGTTCGGTTATTTATAAAAGCGAGTTTTTTTTAGTTTTTTTAAACTATTATTTATTACTTCCCACTTCTGTCTCTGTCAGCCTTACTTTGTTCTCCACTTTTTTTACTTTTTCCCTTTATTTCACAGCTTTAACTTTAACTTTTCACTTTTGAAAACAGAAAAGCTATCGACAACAATTACAGAAACGATATACCAAATAAACAAATATATAAACGAACAAAAACAACAAAAACAGACGCACAAGCCTTAAAAAAAAGCCTTTAGAAAACTTTATAACAAACAATAGCATTGACCAAACAGAAATAACATATGACTACCCTATTGAACTGCTAACGTTAAATCATTTAAAAGACTTAAAAGCAAAAAATATCATCTATGATGTAAACAAAAATTTAATATTCTACTATAGGAAAAATAGATCGCTAAATCCAAGAGATGGCCTAATGTACCAATAATGTAAGCCCCCCCCCCTTATACATATGTAAATACTTCACTCACTCTGTAAATATAATGTATACTTTAAATTTAGTTGACAAATAAATGGAAATTGGAAACGTTAAGTTCGAGCAACATTCGTTCTTCGTGTGTGTGAAGTGAATAAAGTGAAATAAGAGAAAATGTCTGGTCGTGGAAAAGGTGGCAAAGTGAAGGGAAAGGCAAAGTCCCGCTCCAACCGTGCCGGACTTCAGTTCCCTGTCGGCCGCATTCATCGTCTGCTCCGCAAGGGCAACTACGCCGAGCGCGTTGGTGCCGGCGCTCCAGTTTACCTGGCTGCCGTGATGGAATATCTGGCCGCTGAGGTTCTCGAGTTGGCTGGCAATGCTGCTCGTGACAACAAGAAGACTAGGATCATCCCGCGTCATCTGCAGCTGGCCATCCGCAACGACGAAGAGTTGAACAAGCTGCTCTCTGGCGTCACCATTGCCCAGGGAGGTGTCTTGCCCAACATCCAGGCTGTCCTGTTGCCCAAGAAGACCGAGAAGGCTTAAGCGTTTTAACAGCGTGCCAAGTCAAACTTGTACATAGAAACACAAACTCAAACCCAAACGTCCTTTTCAGGACGACCAAACCATTTCAAAAGAAACTACAATTTTCAAATATGCTTAAGTTTAAAATAATTAATTCATAAACTATTAAATACATTTTTTTTATAGTTAAAGTAAGGTGTTCGGTATAAAGTGTAAAACGAAAATGGAACAAAAATGCAGAAAGTACAGTCGTCAGGGGACAATTCCGGTGACAAACATTAGCATTAATTTTCTTAAAAATTTTGGGTACAGTTTGCATCTTAAAGATACATGGACATAAAATAGGAAAACCGGGAATTCATTCCCATCGGGACTGTTTGAGCTACCTACGGCACGATTGCCTACCTACGAAAACCCCGACCAATTAAAATGCATTAGGCGTTATTATTCGTCTGGAATAAATATATATATATATAATAGCAATGAAATTTGATTTGATTTTTCTCTTTTATGAAATTAAATGGTGGTCCTGAAAAGGACCGATTGTTGAGTACAGACTGTACTGATTTTTAACCGCCGAAACCGTACAGGGTGCGGCCTTGCCTCTTCAGGGCGTACACGACGTCCATGGCTGTGACTGTCTTCCTCTTGGCGTGTTCAGTGTAGGTGACGGCATCACGGATCACGTTCTCCAGAAACACCTTCAGAACACCACGAGTTTCCTCGTAAATGAGTCCAGAGATGCGCTTCACGCCGCCACGCCGAGCCAGACGTCGGATAGCTGGCTTTGTGATACCCTGGATGTTATCACGCAGCACTTTGCGATGACGCTTGGCGCCACCTTTTCCCAAGCCTTTGCCTCCTTTACCGCGACCAGTCATTTTTCACTCTTTATTTTAACACTTCGAAAGTCACCACTGAACTAATGTAGAAACGCCGTCGCCGCTTCTATTTATACCAAAACTCAGCATTGCACGAGTGAGCCCGAACGATTGGCTATCTCGCTCTGTGCTCGAAAAATGAGATGGCATCTGCTGCGGCTCTCTTTCAACCCTCCACGTTTTGCTATATAAGTAGGTAGCAATGGGTTGCTCGTTTATTGTGTGTTTCAGACTCGTGAAGTGAACAGTGACAAGAAGTAATATCTAAAATGGCTCGTACCAAGCAGACCGCTCGCAAATCTACTGGTGGCAAGGCACCACGCAAACAACTGGCAACCAAGGCCGCTCGCAAGAGTGCTCCAGCCACCGGTGGCGTGAAGAAGCCCCATCGCTATCGCCCAGGAACTGTGGCTCTGCGTGAGATCCGTCGGTACCAGAAGAGTACCGAGCTGCTGATCCGCAAGCTGCCTTTCCAGCGTCTGGTGCGTGAAATCGCTCAGGACTTCAAGACTGACCTGCGATTCCAGAGCTCTGCCGTAATGGCTCTGCAGGAAGCTAGCGAAGCCTATCTGGTTGGTCTCTTTGAAGACACCAACTTGTGTGCCATCCACGCCAAGCGAGTCACAATCATGCCCAAGGACATCCAGCTGGCCCGTCGCATCCGTGGCGAGCGTGCTTAAGTTGCTTTTGACTAGCAGCCAAAGCGGCAATACATTTTGTACAAATCGGTCCTTTTCAGGACCACAAATATCTTTAAAACTGAGACACTATAAATTTCATATCTATAATTATTAACATTTTATAAATAAACATTCTCCTTGCGTTTTTCTGGTTAAATTTGTCATAATGTATACATGGAAAATAAATACGTTCTTTAAATGTGTGTAGTGAGTGTGTAGTAGGTATCGGTACAAAATTCGAAATACAAAGCAGATATTTTTAAAAGTTATGTTAAAGACTTGTTTATGAACCAATTGTATGGAAAGGTTTATTCAAACATAATCCAGTATATTTTTTAATGCATACTTTTTGAGATCGTAATGAAATGGGAATAAAAATGCTAATACAAGCAATAAGGCAAATATGCTATTAACAAAAATATATGTATATATAAGAAATAAAATACTTTTTTGATACACCAGATACATTTACGATATTAGAATTACGCTATTAATTAAAAATCTAAAAATGTCATTCTTTAATTTATTTAATTTCGTCTCTCCTTGGGTAATAGGCTCGAGTAAACTCTAATATGCATGTTGTATGGGGGACGTAATAGGGCATTACTAAGAAACGAATCCATAAATTCCCTTCAAAACTTAATTGACTGAAAGAACTTACTTATTTTTTTAATAAAATCAACAAAAATTAATATATTTTAATATATTTATATTTTTTAGGTAGCGAAAACTATATCCGATAGTACCAAGAAAGTCGACCATTTTTAATGAGAGGACCAGTTTGAAAGTGGTCTTAAAATACATTTTTTGTACAAAATGCAACTATTTTTATTGTTTCTTCAAGTAAAAGGTTCAAATTTTACTTTTTCTTAAAAATGTTTACTATCTTTAAAATATTTAATATTTTTACACATGATTTTTAACGAAATGCTATGCCTACAAATTTAAATCTTGAACTTCAGACAGCCAAACAAAATGACCCAAAGACTTATTTCACCTTTTAATAAATGTAACTGTTTTATGAAACATTTAAGAACTAAAAATATTTAAAACCTTGTATCATTTAATTACACAACACAGGTAAAAGGAGAAAATGAAATTGCACATCGAGCAAACATTGGCAGCGTAAACGAGCGCTGCCAAACACATAGTTAAAGTGCTCTCCTCCTCGATTCTCAAAAAGCTTTCTTAAGCACTTCAGTATGCTGCAATTTCTATACAAACAAAAGTGTTTTTCGTTAGTTTTCGAAAAGAAATAGTGAAGCAAAATGTCGGACTCTGCAGTGGCAACATCCGCGTCCCCAGTGGCTGCCCCACCAGCGCCAGTTGAGAAGAAGGTGGCCGCCAAAAAGGCATCTGGATCAGGAGCTACAAAGGCAAAGAAGACTGCAGTCCCGCCATCACATCCGCCAACTCAGCAAATGGTGGACGCTTCCATCAAGAACTTGAAAGAACGTGGGGGTTCATCGCTTCTGGCAATCAAGAAATATATCACTGCCACCTACAAATGCGACGCCCAAAAACTGGCTCCATTCATCAAGAAGTACTTGAAGTCTGCAGTGGCCAATGGAAAGCTGATCCAAACAAAGGGAAAGGGTGCTTCTGGTTCCTTCAAACTGTCAGCCTCTGCCAAAAAGGAGCCCAAGCCAAAGGTTGCGGCTGCTGAGAAGAAGGTCAAAACCAAGAAGGTAGTCACCAAGAAAGCCGGGGCCACCGCAAAGAAAGCTGCCGGTGCTGCTGACAAGAAACCCAAGGCTAAGAAGGCCGTTGCCACCAAGAAGACTGCCGAGAAGAAGAAAACTGAGAAGGCAAAGGCCAAGGATGCTAAGAAAACTGGAGTTGTAAAGGCAAAGCCAGCAGCAGCGAAAGCTAAGCCGGCCGCCGTAAAGCCAAAGGCAGCCAAGGCACCAAAGGCCAAGGCAGCAGCGTCCGCCAAGCCCAAGAAGGCAGTTAAGAAAGCAACTGCTCCAGCTACCGCTAAGAAGCCGAAGGCCAAGACTACGGCGTCCAAGAAGTAAATTAAGATAATCTCTATTATCGCAATTTTAGATTTCGAATTCTGAAATTTGAAATTAATTTAAACAAGCCCTTTTCAGGGCTACAAAATTTTCTTAGAGACCAAAAATTATCAATGTTTTAAATATGGAGTGTTTAACTGTAGAGTAGATCCGCCTATACCTCTATTAAATAATTTTTAGGATTTGGTAATAGCATATCTCAGTGAAGGAGTCATTTTCGACCCTATAAATCATATATATTCTTGATCAGCATCAACAACTGAATCGATATAGCGTTGGTCGTGAGGAAAAAATATATTACTACATTTTTGAACATTTTTTAAGGGGTTATATTATTGAAATTGCACATTTATTAACCCTATAAAACCGCAGAACAGAACTTAGTTTTAAAAATTTTACATTTATTTATGTATTAAATAAGAATAAGGCTCTTGAAAATCTCGTTTCTTTGGTAAAACTTGTTGTGGCCCTGAAAAGGGCCTTTTTAATGTTCCTCCGCATCTGCGAGAAAATTTACTTGGAGCTGGTGTACTTGGTGACAGCCTTGGTTCCCTCACTGACGGCGTGCTTAGCCAACTCTCCGGGCAGGAGCAGGCGAACAGCAGTTTGGATTTCCCGACTGGTGATGGTAGAGCGCTTGTTGTAGTGCGCCAGACGAGAAGCCTCGGCAGCAATACGCTCGAAGATGTCATTCACAAAGCTGTTCATGATGCTCATCGCTTTCGAGGAAATGCCAGTGTCGGGATGGACCTGCTTCAGGACCTTGTAAATGTAGATAGCATAGCTCTCCTTCCTCTTCCGCTTCTTCTTCTTGTCGTTCTTGGTGATGTTCTTCTGGGCCTTGCCAGCCTTCTTGGCTGCCTTTCCACTAGTTTTCGGCGGCATTATTTCACTTCACTTCACTGCACGATTCACTGATCATAGCAGCAAAGTTTTGGTGTTCGCTCTTATACTTTTTATCAAGCAATGTTTCAGGTCTGTGGCGACCCACCCCTTACTGAACGCACAGGCAGAGTCAAAAGTATAAATTCGTGGACATCGAGAGTTCGAGCAACATTCGTTCTTCGTGTGTGTGAAGTGAATAAAGTGAAATAAGAGAAAATGTCTGGTCGTGGAAAAGGTGGCAAAGTGAAGGGAAAGGCAAAGTCCCGCTCCAACCGTGCCGGACTTCAGTTCCCTGTCGGCCGCATTCATCGTCTGCTCCGCAAGGGCAACTACGCCGAGCGCGTTGGTGCCGGCGCTCCAGTTTACCTGGCTGCCGTGATGGAATATCTGGCCGCTGAGGTTCTCGAGTTGGCTGGCAATGCTGCTCGTGACAACAAGAAGACTAGGATCATCCCGCGTCATCTGCAGCTGGCCATCCGCAACGACGAAGAGTTGAACAAGCTGCTCTCTGGCGTCACCATTGCCCAGGGAGGTGTCTTGCCCAACATCCAGGCTGTCCTGTTGCCCAAGAAGACCGAGAAGAAGGCTTAAGCGTTTTAACAGCGTGCCAAGTCAAACTTGTACATAGAAACACAAACTCAAACCCAAACGTCCTTTTCAGGACGACCAAACCATTTCAAAAGAAACTACAATTTTCAAATATGCTTAAGTTTAAAATAATTAATTCATAAACTATTAAATACATTTTTTTATAGTTAAAGTAAGGTGTTCGGTATAAAGTGTAAAACGAAAATGGAACAAAATTGCAGAAAGTACAGTCGTCAGGGGACAATGCCGGTGACAAACATTAGCATTAATTTTCTTGAAAATTTTGGGTACAGTTTGCATCTTACAGATACATGGACATAAAATAGGAAAACCGGGAATTCATTCCCATCGGGACTGTTTGAGCTACCTACGGCACGATTGCCTACCTACGAAAACCCCGACCAATTAAAATGCATTAGGCGTTATTATTCGTCTGGAATAAATATATATATAATTAAATACTTGTTATTTTGTAAGTTAAAAAAATATATTTTATTTTATTTAACCAAAATAAGTTACAAGATATTTGTATGTATGAAGAACACCGACCGAATAATTTCGTGTCTCAAACTGAACTCAACTTATTGAACTAGGATGGGTGACGATCAAACCTCGGTTTCGAGCTTTTGTGGATCTTGATTGATTTCGAAAGATTCTAAGAGAGAGCTTAATTGATTATTTAATTTCTCTTGGATTCAAGTGCATTCGCTCTTGGATACAAGTGCTCTTTTGAAATTTGATAATTTTGTTTTCGAGCTAACGGGTCCGAACTTTGAGCGTGTGAACGCGACAAATAGGAAAGGATGTTTAGACAATAAAATTGTTTAGTC